TGGCTTAATTTTCTCAATGTTGATGAGAAATTAAAGACCAAGAGAAGGAAATCTCGTTATATATGACAAATTCTAACATAATTATAGTCCACTAAGATCCTGTGTCATCTCATTTTGATTATTTTAAATTATTAACAAATTAAAAATGAACCCCAGGAATTGAAATGTTTCCTTTTTTGGGGGGAGGTCATTTCCTCATTTGGTTTGGGTTTTCTTGACTAACCTTCAAGGTGTATTACATCTTTTCTAAGTTGACCTTCTTTAATCATGCCTTTCTACAGTTGTTTTTTTGTTCAGGACATTTAAAGTATTATTGAAGATTTAATGATTTCTTTAAAAATGTTTTTTGTATGTGCCCAAGGTGAAGTGATCATAACAATGCAATTTTAAATACAAATCAGTAAAATTAATTCATTTAATTTTAACATAGAAGGAATTTAAGATGCTAGAATAAAGAAATGAGTATTTTAATTGGTCTTTAAAATGTCCTCTGCTTAGTTTTATAGGCAATAATTATTTTTTCTTTTGCAGTCCTAATTTTGATGGTTTAAAGGATAGAAATTCCCCAACAGACACTAAAACCATGGATGTTCAACATGTGCATTGTCTTGCCAGATTCTCCTTCAGGTTCCTTTCCTCAACCTAGCAGTACTGTGTGTAATACAATATAAGAAAACTTGTCCCAAAAGGCTGGTTTTACTTAATGATACTTAGCAGAAGGGCTTTGCACTTTCATGATAATTTCCAACAGAAAAACCTCTCTGGAACTTACTAATAATAATCAGACCTAATATTAGCCTCAAATCAGAGATTTCTTAAACCTATTTGGCATGCCTCGTTGAATGACTAGGTAGGTATTCGAGCTTCTAGGCTGAGCTTGGGCCTAGGAAAGAGACTCTCTGGTTAGCACCCTAAAAGCATTCCTCAAGTCTTGATTTATACTAGAAAGGTCATTTCTACTCTTCAGAGGCTGCGAGAGTGCAAATAACTTCCATTGCTTTGGAGGCTAAGAGTAACTCAACATTTCATCCCCCACAGTGAGGAGGAAAGTAGGGTAGGGCAATGCGTTCTCCCTTAAGGTTTTTTTCTTTCAACTTTGAAAATAAGGATTGTGGTACGTACATCATCAGCAATTGACAAGTATCTATGAAATGCTTACTAAGCTCTTAGTTTACCTTCGGGTTAATGGGAAGTTGGTGATTTAGCAGTCAGTATTTAGGCAGGACCATCTTTCCCTTGTTAACTAAACTTCCACTAAGATTCATAAATATCCAACATCGTGAATTAAAACAAACAAACAAAAAACTCTTTTTCGTGCTTATGTGTGTTTAGAGCAACGCTTTGATGCAGAAAGGCTTTTCTTCCCAAGCAGGAAGAGACCCATTTCTGAGACAAAGTTTCTCAGGATCTCTGGATTTGAGAGGAGGGCAATCCCCGAGGGGTGAGCGGGTGCGGGTCCTAAGGGTCCCCGCGCGCCGAGAGGCAGGTGCAACCCCGAGACCCGACTCGTGATTCCGGGCTGTGGAGGCAGCCCAAGCCGGGTACCCGGCGACCGGCGCCAGGGCCACTTCTCCCCACCTGATTCCGGCCAGTCCCTGCGCCTTCCTCGGCCGGCTCCGCTGCCTCACTCTCTCCCCCGCCCCCCGAGTCTCGTTTCAGTCATCCCTTTGTCCTTCCCCGGATTGGCAGGTTTTATTATTCCGCCTGAACAATCCGGCCGCCCAGTGGCTGAGGGTCGCTGACGTCGGCGGCAGAGCCGGGGAGTAGTTGGGATTTTGTTCTGTCAGTAACACATGTGTAAGAGCCGCGGAGGGAGCGAGCGAG